CATGCACAAACGCATGCACACACGCACACACATACATACACCATGTATATGCCCGTCGCAAGAGAAGCACGCAAATCTGCAAATGCACTGGGTGTGCACCCACAGATTTTATCTTATAGCAACGATAGCGAAGAACATCTGATTTAGACAGATCAAGACTAGCGCCAGATAACCGTCTAATCCACAGAACCGGCGAAGCCATGCGAATCGACTCCCCAATGCACCCCTGGTCTACACCACACGGAGTACATCGGCATAAAATGGCCAAGACAGTTAGTACTCAGTTCTTTATGCACACCCTACACTTGTTGGGGTAACCAGTATAGACAGCACGCTGCTTTGATAGAAGCAGACAGACACTAGTTGGAATGGTACCTTGTGACGTGACATTGGAGTTACATTACCAACTAGCCTCGTCGGCTAAGTATTGGGAACCCACAGCCCACAGACACACACACACGTGCAGCAACGCACGCACACACACTATAATAGTGTCCGAAATGGGGGTCAGCCAATACAAAAATTACTGCAGAACGGGGGGGGGGGGGGGGCTCAACTACCGCTGGCATCAACAGCTGCTATCGTGTGTTACAAACATTCAATAGCTGCTTTTTTGTTACTTCAAGTACAAACAAACAATAGCCGCTAGCCGGTACAGTATTGTGTTAGAAACACAGCGAGTCTTGCTACGAATCAAATTTCGCTCTCGTTCAAATTGGAAGAAAAAAACAGTTCGTAGAAATGCACCATTCGTGTGCATCTAGACTCTAGCTCCAGCTAGCTCCGGACTTACTAGCACTGCACCCGAGTTCAGCCCACATACGTCACTTTACCTATGTTCAGTTTTATGAGCTCCTTGTCGGGATTCGGTTGGAATTTACCGTGGTCTACCAACTTCCGAATGGGATTTATGCAGTGCCGCGATTCGAACGAGCCCCGGATATTCCAGTCCTGTTCCTGGGCCATGGCGGGGGAGTTGTGGAGTCCGTGAAAATAATAATACTTGTTCTACACCGACGCGCCTATGCGGTAATTCGTCCCGTCCCTTGTTGCTTACACGTGGCACACAAACCAACAACTAAGTCAACACTAATCAGTGTCGTGAAACAACTCCGCAGGAAGGCAAAGAACTAAGTAAGTTGTCAGAAGGAGGGCTCCTACTATCGACTACGCATTCTACAGACTACACAGGAAAGCAAACAAAAGAGCTGCTGTGCCCGTCGTCTTGACAGCTAGCTAGTTTTGTAGCACAGTCTCAAATTTTTTGTTTGCCTTTTTTGCATTCAACATTTTTGCATGAAGTCAGCACTGCTGTAGCGATAGCATCGACGCGTGCATATGCAGCATAATCCAGCCCCCTTCCGTTCCCATGGTTCCTGGACTGCGTACCGCGGCTCCGGTCAACTAACAAGATAAGAATGCATGGTACATGGTGTCGCCGTATGCATACTGCACGCGGTATGCGCATGTGACATATTACTAGTAGTCATTGGGTCCACACACAGCTGCGTAGCCGTAGGTCCACGCAAATGCACGGACGGCCGGTGAATTTTGTGACCAAGAGTAATAAACTGTAATCTTGATGCGACTGATTGATCAGGCTAACAGAGCACGAGAAAGGTGATCAAATACAGTCCTGTACATAATCTACCCAGACGGCCAGCTATACTTCAGTAGTGCTTAGGGTAGATCCACAGTTACCATGGTTACCCAGCCAGGACAACCTACAAAGCTGTAGCTATGTAGTGCAGTGAACTACTTCCAGAAAGACTCTCCTAACGCAAATGAGTCTAGTAGTAATGGCTACTAGTGAAGAAGTCACTTGTAGTTGTACGGGTAGAAAACGATTCCATAAAGAGCACACAAGTACCGTATTTCCCCGATTACAGGTCGCACTCGATTATAAGTCGCAGTCGCACTGCCAGTACCAGGTTTGAGCCATAATGTTTTGATATATTCACTTCAGTAGTAAGTCGTGCATGCTCCTCGTTTGTAAGTCGCAACCCCTTTTTTACCCTCGATTTTCAGTGTAAAAATGTGCGACTTATAATCGGAGAAATACTGTAATTGTGGAGAGAAAGCAAGAAAGAGAGAAAGCAAGAAAGAGAGAAAGCAATCCGAGAAGAGTACTAGCAAGAGTCCATAACCCAAGAGTATGCAACTGTGATCTCTTTTCTATGGGCCAACCGCGCGGCGCGCTGCCTTCATTACATCATTCAGCTGCAGTCCGCGCACTGCGGAAAATCAAACACCGCACTTTCCCTCTAGTTTGAAATGAACTTTCGTACGGAACTGGAGTTCACGCGCCAGAATTCAGAGATTGTGTAGGTACTGGAACGAATCGAGCAAAAACGGATGGGCTCGTGCGAGAAATTGAGAGTTTGAATGCATGCTTTCAGAGCGTGATGAAGGCAAGTTACGTAATGAAGGCAGCGCGCCACCATGCACCCATAATCACAGTTGCATACTCTTGGGTTATGGACTCTTGGTACTAGTACTTTCAAGTATATGAAACTGGCGTAATGACTAGTACTGTAAAGTCATGATCACCAGGGAGTTGTAAACTTAGTACTACACTGAAATATTCCACTACTCCCTGGTGATGGCAGTGTACATGGTATAGCGAAGCAGTTACTAAAAGGGACACAGCTCTTTTTCGTTGCTGATTTATTGTGGCAAGCACATGATGACGATCAAGGAAATACAATACAGCTAAGCGTATATTACAAAAGAGGCACAGTGTTGGCTGTGGCAAGCAACATAGCTCAGAAGTTAGAGCATCACTGGCCCGGTTTAGGGAAGGGTCCCTGGTTCGAGCCCGGGCACTGACAGTCAGTAATTCTCTGCAGGATGTTTTCCTTTTTCAACTCAAGGTCCTAAAGTGATGAATAGGCTTTGCCACACAAGAGAAAGAGAGAGAGAGAGAGAGAGAGAGAGAGAGAGAGAGAGAGAGTGAGCGAGAGAGTGAGAGAGAGAGGGAGAGAGAGAGAGAGAGAGAGAGAGAGTGAGCGAGAGAGTGAGAGAGAGAGAGAGAGAGAGAGAGAGAGAGAGTGAGAGAGCGAGTGTGTGTGTGAGAGAGAGAGAGAGGGGGGGGGGGAGCTGTGTTGCAACTCCGAGTTTCACGTAGCCACGATCATCAGGCAACTGATATAGCCACATACATTATGATAGAAGTAATATGAACTCAGATGGTGAGCCAACGGAGTATTTTAAATTGAAACACGGAAAACGGTGGAGCGCAAGTTATGCGTTAGAGTTCACGACTATACCAAATTTTGAACAGTCAGACGCGTAATTTGGCACAAAACTGACAAGGAGTCCTGAGACATTCCATGGAGTGATATGATCGACCCTTTACTAGTTTTTAAAAATAGAAAATTGAGCAAGCAAGTATCACCGTGCAGTGTGCAACGTGTTCTAAGGGTTAGAGACTGTCCATGAAAAGAGCAGGCAATGGCCATTGAAGCCTCTAGTAGACATCACACTCACGTGCGGTAGTAGATTGAGGCTATCCACAGTACCTACTTTACCAGAAGTGGAGTGGCCGTCGAAGCGTCTACGTCGAGTACATATACACCACACTCAAACTTAGTACTTGCAAGTATACCACGCCCTGCCTGCTCATCCCGCGTGGCCTTCATGTGCCGATGGAGATACATTATCCAGGAGACGTGTCCGTCAACAGGACTTGCTTGTACTCACACCCAGTAGCACAGTATCACCCTCTCTGTTTCCCGGCCTACTCCGCTCGTTTGGCCTTCATGCGTCGCTGGCAGAACGCCGCTATGCGATCCATGGCCTCGGAGATGAGAGTTTCCGGTGCCAGCAAGACAATACGCAAGTAGTTGGGATACTTGAAAATCTGACAGAGAAAGAGACATAGAGAAAACAGCAGACAAAAGCAAGAACACATCTGACTACCCCGTAAAGGGAATCGTCTTCACGAGACAAACATTTGGAGAAAGCAAGAGGCCTGGACTGTTCGAAGACCGGATTGAAGAGGGTTCTTGTTGAGAAGCAATCCGGGCAATAAGGTTGCTGTTTCTCACGGTGCCCACACCGTCTACACAATTGCTTTCCACAAAACCATAATTATCTTCAGGGTGTCACTTCCAAGATGGCCACCACAAATAATGCTGACTGATTGAGGGAATGGAAGGGGGAAAGTCTGAAGAAAGAAATTGACTGCCACCACCAGGACTCGAACCAGGGACCCTGGCTTGAGGCCAGCGATACTCTAGCCGCCGGTCTACGGTGTAGCTGTCGTCCCAACCGAGACCGTTCAACATTTTCTTCAGGCTTCGAGACTTCAAATAATGTCGGTCATATTTTTTTCTTCATTTCAGGTCCACACTATGTAATACTATTGAAAAGTAACAACACCAATAGTATTACATAGAGTGGAACTGAAGTGAAAAAAATATGACCGACATTATTTGAAGTTTCGAAGTCTGAAGAAAAAGTTGAACGGTCTCTGCTGGGATGACAGCTACACAACAATAGCTCAGCGGTTAGAGCATCGCTGGCCTCAGGTGACGGTCCCGCCACTAGTATACTAACACAGCCAGGGAGGATGAACACGGATTCCTCGCTCATCAGCTGCTCAGCAAACTGCACATCATCAGCAATGCCGTCCAGCTGGTCCACGTTGATGCCAAACTGGAGAAGATAAATGGAAGGCAGCCGGATTGAACAAGCGTTTCGGAGATAACAACTTCAATTATCCATCAAATGGCGGGCACCGCACAGTTTGTCCTCTTGGTTGAGATATTGCAACCGGAATGAACACTTATTTAGTTACTCATGTGGATAAGGAGGGATAAAGAAATCGCCGAAAACGAACCCTGGTCACACCCCCGTCCGCTACCGGACATATTGTGCCGACTAAGCTATCGAATCGGTGCTCTTTCCCGCATCCTGGTCATCCACCGGACTAAGCCGGGGTGAGCATCGCAAACTAATGCCGAGCTCAGGCCAAACAACGGGACCAGTGACTCCCCGCTAGAGTGCGACTCAACAAGAAGGAGCACCATTTGTGTCTCCTTCTCCAAGTTCCCCATGGCCGGGTTGCATGGACCTCATCCGCGTCCTTGTCATTGGATCTGTTCAGTAAGTTCAGCTTGCAAATTCAAATGAAACACACAACCAAAGGGACAAGAACGTTCAGCTTGAAGTTTCAAATTGAATACACAACCGAATAGACAAAAACATACCAGCATGTATATGGAGCCCTGTGGCTTGGTCGGCAAGATACACGGTACTGAGGCGAGCTTCTCATAGGCTAATGTTGACGTGGCCTGCAGTGGAGTGTACCGAAATACGGGCCGATGCATGCACATACACACACATACACGTGCACTTACACGTACACATGTATGCAGACACACACACGCAGACACACACACACACACACACACACACACACACACACACACACACACACACACACACACACACACAGAAACCCATGGACAAGCACATATGCAATTGACAGTACAGCACAGTGCTTCAGACCATCACTCCCTTTCCCACCTTTCTACATGCCGTAACCCAACAAAGCCACATCATATCAACATATTTATAGCAAAAATGGAGACGTTTCCTCTATTCAAATTTTGCAGGTAATTCAAAAATGCCGACAGAAATTGCACTTTTGAAGTACCAGCCCCCCCCCCCCCCCCCACCCAACACCATCAAGAGTTCCAGTACAGTACTTTTGGTCGCCGAAGAACTGAGGGGTCAGCCTCCTAGCCTAGACCATTCTTATTTTCATGTATTACAGTCTATGCACAGTTGAGTCACCGTGTATACATTGGTATGCTGTGGTTGGCGAAATTCTAGCCTGGGCATTCTTCGGCGCCCCGTTCTTCGGCGCCCCGTTCTTCGGTGCTCCGTTCTTCGGCGCCCGGTAGTACTGTACTGGTTTGAACACATGCCAAACAAGGCAGCGAGTATCCAGGGAAATTCAGGATCTTACCTCTAAATGTCTGTTGGTGTTCTGGAAGAACTCATCGGGAACCTCGCTGAGAATACGAGGAAGTGCAGCTTGGATGGGTCCGCACGAGCCGAGGATTCGTGCCCACAGGTTGTTCAAGCAGACACGAACCTGGAGTGGAGACAGTGACACACACAGACAAACACACACACACACACACACACACACACACACACACACACACACACACACACACACACACACACACTTTGAGCCGGGCGGGAGGACAGGAGGACATGGATTTTTAAGGAAAGATTGTACTACACGCGGTTTGGAGACAACATAACAGAAACACCAACAGAAGAAAATTACAGATCAGTTACTCACATCTTCCAGTCGGCCATGGTTGTCATGGAGAATCAGCCAACCAGTCCTCCAGCCTGGAACAAGTTGACTGGGCAACAGCACAGATGGAACCATTGGCAACATATTATATGTACCGATGCCCATTTTTAAAAATAGGTTGCCAAAATATCCAAATTCTAGCGAGGTGCGGTTTTACACGGAATATCAACAAAAAACCGAAAAGGGGGTGTGTCGTATTTTCCGGAATGTATTATACACTCGATTCAGTCACGATATTCCACTGATGATAGTGACAAGAAATTGATTATGGAAACTTTTCGACTTCGTTGAAGTTTGGTGATGACTGCAGAGCTGAATCAATCTAGTGCTCTTTTGAAATTGCTGTCTCCGCGTCGTTCGTAAACATGGTTATGACTTTAGGCAGAAACACGTCTACTGTCTTAACACTCTGATACATACCTTTTACCAATACCAGAACATGTCAGGATGGGTACACGGTCAGTGAGGCTGGCCAGCGCGTGGAACTCAGCACCGCCAAACACCTAGCACACGGTAGAGCGGCCAAAGAGGTGGACAGACAGACGAACACACATACACACACACACGCATACACCATGTACCATGTATACGCCCGTCGCAAGAGAAGCATGCAAATCTGCAAATGCACTGGATGTGCACCCACAGATTTTCTCTTATAGCAACGATAGCGAACAAGATCTGAATGAGACAGATCAAGACTAGCGCCAGATAACTGTCTAATCCACACAGCTGGTGAAGCCATGTGAATCGACCACCAATGCACACGCATACACTCATGCATGCAATCTGAAACACATGCACACACACACACACACACACACACACACACACACACACACACACACACACACACACACACACACACACACACACTCACACACACACATGTGCAGAGCACACAAGAACCTACATTCCACAATCTACACACTCGATGCGAGTGTCACAAAGAGGCCCGTTCCACTGCCATGTGAATCGACCACCAATGCACACGCATACACTCATGCATGCAATCGCACACATGCACACACACACACACACTCACACACACACATGTGCAGAGCACACAAGAACCTACATTCCACAATCTACACACTCGATGCGAGTGTCACAAAGAGGCCCGTTCCACTGGTTTCCGATTTGGATTTCATCGACTAACATGA